AGAGAGTGTGTGTGTGAGTGAGTGTGTGTGTGTGTGAGTGAGAGTGTGTGTGTGTGTGTGTGTGTGAGTGTGTGTGTGTGAGTGAGAGTGTGTGAGTGTGTGTGAGTGTGTGTGTGTATGAGGGGAACAGGGTCACATCACAGGAGAGTGAACTGTCTGTCAGAAATCATAGCACGTCAGCTGTCTTAACCGCGGCTTGTGTACTGCAGCAGCACTGTGTCTGTCACGTGACTCTGTTGCCCTTTCGGGCTTGAACTGATGGTAAAACTAACAACATTATTAACAGTCTTGATAGTTACTTTGAAAGCTGAAGCTGCGATTATGGTAAGGGGCGTTACATTTCCGCTTGTGGTGTTCGGCCAATCACAATGCACTGGGTCAGCTGGCCAATCAGAGCAGACTGCGCTTGTCAAAGGAGGGACTTTGTAGAAAACTAAGCATTTGAGAGAGGCGGGGCATAGAGGACCTACAATAATGTACAGTATTTGAAAAATAATGAGTTTTTTGAACATTAAAGCATGTCAACATATTCTGTTACACCAAATACCGATCTTTAAAAAAGCATTATATGACCCCTTTAACAAGTGATTTGTTTAACATTTACATCATGTGGTGCACTTGAAATAGAATTTTCTTTAACTAGAGGGTTAATAAAGAAAAAGTTACTTTAATCATGTTGTAGTTACATCTTCAAGTTGACTAGTTAAAAATTGTAGCCTATGAAAACCGAGAATTGGTCAAATGTTGGTCAAAAAAATCTATATTTAATTTTTTTGCCATATCACCCAGCCCTAATTGTGGATTTATCTGTAGTCATTACATACACGTATGAAGTGTATATCCAGATTTACAGTTTTATGCAAAAGTTTGGGCACTCCTCTGGTGCTGCATAATAATGTGCCCTGTCTTAACAAGAAAAGATTGTAGTAATATGCCAGTCAGTCTCTCGAGAAAACTGGATAATGTGTTATTCAGACAAAAAAATCTCAGAGGCAACTGCAGGGCACCTCCAAAGAGCTCCAAGAATACCTTGCTGCTGATTTCTCACCACAACCGAACTGCTCCAGAGCTCATGTTCAGGAGTGTTTGCCATGTTCATGTGCCTAAGCAAACCGAACTAAGGGAGAAAATGCACTCACTGCATCACTCTGAACAGCTCCTCAGAAGGATGCCGTGTTACCTGCTGCACATGCTCCAGGGCCACAGGTGTGGCCTGAGTGAACGTCTCCAGGTGAATCCCGTTCCCTGGATCATCCAGGATCAGACAGCCGATGTCAAACCACCTGACGAGAGAGCGTGAACAAGGCTGCTCAGTTTCTCCTATCATGAGAAAAGGAAGCACAACTCTCTCACGAGTGTCTTCAGAGCTCTACATGAAGCTCTTCCCGGCACGTTTGCTTTACTGACTGAATCCCACTCTCACAGATTCCCTCATTATAAACAACAAGGTGCAGATATGATGTGAGAGATGAACTGTGCAGTGATGATAACGGGATTTCTGTGACCACTGCTTCAGTGATGGGAACGCTCTTCACTCTCTTTCTGTTTATAAGTCCTTCCCAGTTTGAATAACTATTTAGTTTTTCTTGCTACTAATATGCAGTCTAATGAGATGCAATGAGTAAAAAGCAATCAACTACCTGATAAATGATTCTTAGCTTGCTTTGTGTGTGTAGCCGCTTCCTCAAACACAATTTTGGGGAAACACGTGTTCTATTAACCAACATTAATCACTGTTATTACAAAATCAAGAGCAATAATAGCAATAATAGAGCAATAATAATAAGATTGCATTCCTACCCTCTAATGAGTTCCTGTTTTTTTACACAATTTATAAACTTTTTGTAGGCTATTTACATGTCAAGTTAGATGCAGCTTCTGCTCCTTTGCAGTTTTAAGATGGCTTTTATTCATGTTGATAACATTTTACTGGTAACAGTATATAGTATTCTGATCGACTGAAGTCATCGTTCTGTGATAACCACATTTGTGAGTGTGCAAAATTGTGTAATTTATAATTATAAAAACTGCCTCTGGATTCAATTCCAGGTGGCAAGTAATGTCCATTAATTTAAAGATTTGGACCCAGATTCAGATCCAGTCTGATGGATGGGACAGCTTTAGAGCTGTGAATAAACCGATCTTACTTGTCTGGGAAGAGTTCTGCGATGAAGTTTTCCACAGAGACCACGGGCTGCTTCTCATGAATGACAGCGGCACGCCGCAGACTGTCGATGCGCTCCTGAGCTCCCTACACACACACACACACACACTTCTGATGAACACGTATGGTTTGAAGTCTCGTGGTTCAGTGTTTCCTGTCATATCTTGTCATGACTCTCCACACGGTGTGCTCACCTTGACCCCTGCGGCGTATCCCATTGGCTGCGGGGCGATGTTGGACTGACCGGCCTCTCCCGTCACCATGGCCAAACCAAACACCTCCTGAAACGCGTCCCGCACCGCGGCCACCTTCACCTCCTTATCTGACGTCACAACCACGTCCATGTCTCCTCCAGACTCTGACACAAACACACAAATCACATCAGCTGCTTTCCCATCAGGCCGAGCGGTTCTGAGCATGCAGAGTAACGGTTCCTGTCCGATGCAGTTCAGTACGGTACGATTACAGATCAATGCACAGACAGGTGTCTCAGCTCAGCTAATGGCACTGTGGTAATGGAGTGGTAAAATAAAAAATAAAATAAAAGTCACATTCCAAAACAAAATAAAAAGTACTCTCCATAGGTGTAATGGTTTTTATACTGTACAAACTGTTAGGGATGCCCCGATCCGGTCAGTCTAAATATTGAGTATCTGCTGATATCGAGTCCTGTATACTTGCATATTCCTATAGGAATGTATGTTTGGTGCACACTTAGAAAGTATAAAAGAAATATATATATATATATATATATATGATGTATGTTTGTGTATATGTATTACAAGATACACACTTTCTATGAATATATGTGAACAAACAGTATAAAGGCATTGGCAGATGTAAACACGTTACAATGGAAGACATTGTAAACAGAATTTTGTGGTCACTATTATGAATAATTGCAAACAAAAGTAGAGATGCGGTTAGAAAGCATGAAGCTCACGTTGTCTAGGCCTGTCACGATAACAACTTTTTGTTGTGCGATATATTGCCCAAGAAATAATTGCGATAAGTGATATTATTGTCATTTTAAGACCATTTTATGCCACTGAATATATAATCATGATATAACAGCATAATAATGCAAGAAGGCCTACACTATGGCTGAGCGGTGTATCGAGTTTGTACGATATATCGATATTTTCTTTATAAGCGATACGATATGAGGCAATACTGTTTATATGGATATACAGTAGTTAGAGCGCATCTGAAAATATAGCTTCTTTTTAAAAGGGTCATATGATGCTATTTCAATTGTTCCTTTCTCTTTGGAGTGTTACAAGCTCTTGGTGCATAAGAAGATCTGTAAAGTTGCAAAGACTAAAGTCTCAAATCCAAAGAGATATTCTTTATAGAAGTTAAGAGTCAACCACGCCTACCTAAAACGGCTAGTTCTAACACGCCCCCACATATCTACGTCACTATGTGGAAATATTAGCATAATGCCGCCCAAATGTGCACGCAAAGAAAGAAGGCGTGGTTTCAGGAACAGCAGTAGTGTTGAAGCAGCATGTCAGGGAGACGCTGTGTTTCAGTGTGAAAGCAAAAGCACTTTATTTGGCCTTCCGGAAGTAGATGCAATTAGGAATCATTGGTTAAGATTTATTTACAACAGAACAGCACAACCCAGATGTTCGAATTTGTGCAACACATTTTTTGAACCTAGAAGAGTACAAGGCTGGCTGTGCACAAAGGTTATTTCTAAAAAAAAAAAAAAGGGTCAATTCTGACTTTGCTATGACAATCTGGCGCTTCTGAATCAGCGACTGTAAGTATGTTTTGTTATTAGTTTAAAATGGTCTACATGTGACAAATAACAAATAATGTGTGATTTTTAACAATATTTTAATTTATTGAAATTAATTTTAATTACATAGGCTACTATTACATATAATTACATTCTAATATTATATGCATTGTAAATTATGCAAAATCACAGCATTTAAATGGTAGAGTTCTCCTTACTTTGTCATATAGTGTCTCTCTCAGTGAATGGGACCACAGTGTGATTTTTAACAATATTTTAATTTATTGAAATTAATTTTAATTACATAGGCTACTATTACATATAATTACATTCTAATATTATATGCATTGTAAATTATGCAAAATCACAGCATTTAAATGGTAGAGTTCTCCTTACTTTGTCATATAGTGTCTCTCTCAGTGAATGGGACACAGATTTTACTGATACTATTAAAATCTATATATTGAATAATATGCGTCAAATAACGTTCTTAGTCTTTTCTTCCTGTGGGGAAGCATCCCAGCCAGAAATTACAATAGTTCACTATGAATTAAATGGAAATTAAATAAAATTAAATACAATTAATTGTGTAACCAAAATACCAATAATGCCCAGAAAAAAAAACTTAACGTGTGACTTTTAATTATAAACAAGCCCGAAATACACAGGGACTCTTATTTTGAAATGTCTACACTATTGCGGGATGATTCTTCAGATGAGAGAGAAAATATGCATTCTTACAACCGTCTAAAACAGTGGTTCTCAACCTTTTGTTTCAGTGGGCCGCACTATGTCCAAGTTCAAGTCTCACGGGCCGCATATCATTTGCATATGACGTCACCAATGCAAACTAACCACATATTAAAGTATCTAAATGATTACAATTAGATTTATTATTATTATTAGAGAGTATAATTCCACTTACCATCAATGGGACACCTGATGTTGTCGGGAGCAGACCAGTTTGGTGAAATTAGGCTCAAAAGGCACAATGAAGTAGCGACTGTAAGTTGCAGTCTGTAAGACGTGCACGGAAACGTGACTTGATGCGCGTCATTACAGAAAATGTGCGTTCGCAAATGTATGTCGATCCAAATATGGAAAGCACTTTTGAACTTAATAATCTGAGGTTTTGTCCAGAGATGTTTCGCCACATTTCTGCAACTGAGGATGACTGTTGCGCGATATGGCTGCGTCCTCTTGCCTGAACATCCATCAGTTCATCTTCGAGTGCGCAGCGGGACAAACCGAAAGTTGCAGCCAAGTCCTTGGTTTTTTCCACCGGGAAAGTGAATGGCTCTCTGATGAAATGTCCTGCAGATTTTATTTTCTCAAAATCAGAAAAATGAGAGATGAATTTTTCCTGCATTTGACTGACAGTTTTAACGAATAGTTCTCTCTGTTGTATGTCCAGTACACCCTCACACGCGTCATTCAGAAGTGGAAAGTGAGTTAAATCACCATCTTTGAGTTGTGCAGTGTACAGCCCTAGCTTCATTTTGAAACTCTCAACACAACCCAACAGGGCATCAACATGTTTTTCGTCACCTTGAAGTTGCAGGTTCAGCTTGTTTAGGAAATCTTTCTCCCTCGCCGATGTCATTAAGAAAGTGAACTATCTTGGGGAGTACAGCCAGAATGCGATGCAAGACTTTTCCACAATTTAACCATCTCACTTCACTGTGCAGAATGAGATCTTCATAAGCACTGTCAATTTCGTCCAACAACGCAATAAAACGGCGGTGTATTAGAGGCCGCGCTCGAATTAAGTTGACCACCTTGACCACGGTGTCCATAACCTCCACGAAGTATCCATCAACTAACTTGCTGCATAGTGCTTGCTGGTGCACAATACAGTGAAATGCCAACAAGTCAGGGCAGAGTTTTCGCATTTCAGCAACGAGACTCTTGTGTTTTCCCGTCATTGAGGGCGCACCGTCAGTAGTGATGGAGACGACTGAGGATGCCGGTATGTTCATGTCTTTGCATGCTTCACTAAGTGCTCTATGAATGTCCTCGCCCCTTGTTCATTCATGTAACGATTTCAACGGCAATAAATCTTCTGTAACCTCAAAAGTCTCTGAATTCACACATCTCACCCAAATGCAAAACTGAGCAACATCTCCGATGTCTGTCGATTCATCCGCAGCCAAACTGTGTGCTGAAGCAGTGGCTAGCTTAGTTTTTAGTTGTTCTGTCAAATTCTCAGACATTTCAGAAATTCGACGAGTAACTGTGTCATTGCTGAGCTGTAAACTTTTTATCCTGCGAATGATCTTGCTCTTGTTGCTCAGATCATCAAACATTGTGATTCCAGAAAACAGTTCTTAACTAGCTCCCCATCACTGAATGGTTTGCCGTGTTTGGCAAGGAGCCAGGAAATTTTGAACATTGCTAATGTCACGGCTTGAGACACTTTTAAGCTAGCTTGCATTGTATTCTGTTCAGCAATGCCATTTTTTTCAAGACTAGTTATCTTGAGAGCTCTTTCCTGCGATCCAGGTGGATAATTCTTGCCAAAAGTTGCATGGTTGGTATCGAAATGCCTTTTGAGATTGTAAGTTTTGCATACACCCAGTATTTTACTACAGAGCAAGCAGAAAGGCTGTCCATCTCGCTCGTTGACAGCAAACTGGTTCTTCCATTCTTCAAGCACTCTCCTACCTTCATTGCTGATGCTGCGACGCTTCTTGTTTGCACGTGTTCCTTCATTAGTATTTTCCTCATCTTTTTTCTCCTCTAACAACAAATTTGTCCATTTTGATCATTAATGGATGACTGTTTTAAATCTGTGTTAACTGTGTAATTGCGTCAGTTCATAGATGCGTCAGTACTGCGCATACCTGAAAACAGTACATGATCACCAAAATTACCAAAAGTTGCATGGTTGGTATCGAAATGCCTTTTGAGATTGTAAGTTTTGCATACACCCAGTATTTTACTACAGAGCAAGCAGAAAGGCTGTCCAATTCGCTCGTTGACAGCAAACTGGTTCTTCCATTCTTCAAGCACTCTCCTACCTTCATTGCTGATGCTGCGATGCTTCTTGTTTGCACGTGTTCCTTCATTAGTATTTTCCTCATCTTTTTTCTCCTCTAACAACAAATTTGTCCATTTTGATCATTAATGGATGACTGTTTTAAATCTGCCAAAGCGCGCGCTTGTAATTGTGTGTTAACTGTGTAATTGCGTCAGTTCATAGATGCGTCAGTACTGCGCATACCTGAAAACAGTACATGATCACCAAAATTATTTTATATGACAAAAAATGTATTGTTCAAACTTTTTTTGTTTAATACATTTGAAAAAAAATATGAATTGTAAAACTATAAGTTTAAATATAAAAAAATAACTAATTATTTTTTTTATTTTTTTTTACGTGGTCAGCATTGTGGGCCGCATTTGCATTTGTGACGGTTGAGAACCACTGGTCTAAAACATATTATATAAAGGTCATAAATTAGACATTGTCATAATTCATCAACTCGAGTTCATAAGCAATCGCTTGGCATAAATGTGCATTGATTGAGAATCACTCTGAAGCAGTCTGAAGCGCGAGCCTGTAGAACGCGCAACAGCGCCGCCTTGTGACACTGCAACGTGCAGCGCTCTTTTTTTAATGAAATCAGTACATGATCACCAAAATTATTTTATATGACAAAAAATGTATTGTTCAAACTTTTATTTGTTTAATACATTTGAAAAAAAATATGAATTGTAAAACTATAAGTTTAAATATAAAAAAATAACTAATTATTATTATTTATTTTTTTTACGTGGTCAGCATTGTGGGCCGCATTTGCATTTGTGACGGTTGAGAACCACTGGTCTAAAACATATTATATAAAGGTCATAAATTAGACATTGTCATAATTCATCAACTCGAGTTCATAAGCAATCGCTTGGCATAAATGTGCATTGATTGAGAATCACTCTGAAGCAGTCTGAAGCGCGAGCCTGTAGAACGCGCAACAGCGCCGCCTTGTGACACTGCAACGTGCAGCGCTCTTTTTTTAATGAAATCATTTTGAAGTTTAATAATCGATAGGCTGTATCGCGATTTATGTTTTTCCATCCCCAAAATATAAGATGACTTAAAATGATCATTAAGACGTTTGTCTTACCATTTCATGTATTGAAGACTTTTTAAGACATCAAATTTAAGAAAACTCACCCGGAGGGATTTTGCTTTATTTGCACACGTGCTCCTTAAATACATTTTACAGTTCGTGCACCTCTATTTTTATTTGCGACTGAAGCGCCCGCACTGTCGAGCCCTGTGTTTGTGAGATATCCGCCGTGTCTCTGCAGTGCACGACGGAACGTCAGCGGGAGGAAACAGTTCTCGAGCACACAGAACCAGCAGATACCAAACGTGCAGGGTGAGGGGAGGTTTACCACTAGTTAATCGATCGCAGATGGTTTCATTATTTAGGGCAGATAAAAAAAGTATGAGGATAAAAATAATAAAAGCAAAAATGTTTCTCCATATATACTTGGGCGGCCGTTAATATACCTGGGCAGCCCACCCAAGTAAAGTCTATATGTGGTAAGCACTGCATTAATTTTTATGTAAATTGAATAGGCAATATATTGCATCACCAAAAATTATTGAGGTCATGTACATATATTGTGCAATAAGTCAATATATTGATTATTGCGACAGGCCTAGCGGTGTCAGAATGCCAGTCTACCTATAGCAATGCATTATGACAACGATGTCTCGACTGCAGATAAATGTAAACGATAAAAGAATGAATGATCGCTACAAACGTGCACATTAAATACACTGAACACGGAAGCTCAAACGTGTGATGTGCTAGAACAGACCTCAATGGTTCTCGCACGTCATGCTCACATATTTGAGCATATCCTTTTCCTTTAAATGGTGGTTGGCAAGCCCACTTAAAGGTGCATACCACCTCCTACTGCACAACACCGGAATGACAGCTGCCTAAAGTAAGGATCGCTTAGGATAGCTGGTACGATCAGTTGAAAAAAATGCTTGATCGTCACCGATCCCGATCCTTTAGATAGGCTCCCTACAAACTGTATTTTCTGTTGCCCTACACCTAAACCTACCTCTTACACAAAACTTCCTGCATTTTTACATTCTCAAAAAAACACCATTTAGTAGGCTGTTTTTTTAAGTCTTTTGAATTACAGGGGACACAGACAGTGTCCTCATAAATCACCTTCATAAATCACTTGTAATACCTCTGTCATACCCATGTCATTATACAAATCTGTGTCCTCATAAACCACATAAACATGCACACACACACACACACACACACACACACAGAGCAGCACTCACTGATGTACGGTGCCATCCCAGGGTCCAGTGTGGTTATCATGGACTCCACAGAGTGTTTGGTTTTATCCAGGACGGTCTTGACCATGGGGTTCCCGGCTACACCCTGAGATCACAACAAAAGAGCATCAGGACGTACACGGGTATGACAGCGCGCCGTCCTGTCCTTACGCTGCATTCATGTGTCCAGTACCTTGATGAAGCCCCATAATCCACCGGGTGCGCTGTCGTCCGCAGCCACTCTGGGGTCTTCAGTGTCCTCAGGAAACGTGATGGGCGAGCTGACATCTAACCCTCCAGACACCGGCTGCTGCATCATGGGATTGGTGATGATCCCTGCTGAAACACAATCACATCTGAACTACAGGATACTGCTGACCCATCATCCCCTTACAGGCGACGAGTGCTTGAGGTTATTGATTTGCATAACACATGCCCAAAGCATCTCCATATAAGGGCTTTGTGACTGATTGAATCCATGTTTCTGAACGAGTCACTTGCTTCACTCCTGAATGAATCAGCCATTTTGAACAAATCATTTGAATGAATGATTCACTCACTCATTATGACAGGGAGTTGCCGCCAACTACTTGTAATTTTAGTTTCAAGCGTAAATACACCAAAATGCCATTTCAGGTGCAGTTTCATTGGCACTTCTGCAGTGCAAAGATGGATATTGTTGATAGTGGATAAATTTGATAGGCAACAGCCTATATTGTCTTCTAATTGAATTTGATTAAATGTAAGAATTTGACATGATGCATGCATTTTATTAGGTGACATACATTTAATTCGGTTTGTAAAAAATGCTTGTATAAAGGTAAAAAATGCCTTTGGAAATCAACTTTTAAACAGATTCATACAGATAAAGCAAAATGAAATTCCAGGACTTTAAAGGACTTTTTTGGTTTTCAAGGACTAAAATCCTTGAAAGATCTCACTTATCAAACAATATTGTTACTATTATCTTTCAAATTCGAATAAATAAACAAATAAAACGGTATAAATAAAATTCAGCACATGCAAAGCATGCAATGACTGTGGAAATTTACAACATTTGAAAGGATACTATGGTAAAGTTATCGCTTTACTTTTTCAAAGTGATTTTTTTGGTTTTATTTTCATGAATATATGATTGACCTGAAGAATGAATATAGCATACACTTGGAAAACTATGAGCTATATCACGCTCATAGACACTAGGGTTGTGAAAATACATTTAGCTCACGAGATGAGACAAAATACAGACACTTGGTTGACTAGAACAAGACAATATTTTAATACTATTTTAAAGAAACTTTCAATTACAACACATTTGTCTTTTAATCACAAAATGCAAAACAATGCAGTAGTATTTTTAAATGTTTTAACTAGCTAATTATAGGGCCGTAACTAATGATTATTTTGCTAATCAAGTAATCTACTGATTATTTTGACAATTGAGTAATCTGATATTTTTTTTGTAATAAAAGTAGACCCAAGTGGAAAAACAGGCTTTAATATGACTATATTTATATATAAACTAACAATGAGGCAAAATGTATTTGTTCAAATAAAGTATTAAAACCAAGTAATCACATGGTTTTATTGAACAACACTTAAAATACATAATGTAATATGCCTATACATAATATGAACAAAACCAACTTTAGTAAATTAAGTATTATAACAAATACCTGCAGAGGGCACCAACAGACTGGTGATGTTTCACTTTACAGCATTATTCAATGACATTTCAGTCCATTTAATTTTAATATCTGGCCACATGCAAACTCAGAGCGAGGGTTTGGACTTTTATTTTGAAATCACGATGTACAACAAAATGCATATTTATAAATATTATAAATATGTATTCTCCTGTATAAATGATTTACGTTATGAATCTATGGAGATAACGAGCACTGTTTTCCCAGATGAACGTTAAGCAACCCAAACTCACAGCACATGCAGAGGAAGAGTTTGTGGAGAGCTGCTGAGATGCAGATGTGTTTCACGCTTGTAAATGATAACAGTGCAACACAAAGTGCATCAGACTTTACATGCGTTCCCAAATGAACCCCAAATAAACAGCACATGTAATAAAAGGCCGAACAATATAATGCAAGCACTATCAAAGGTTTTACCACAGACTCAACTTTATACTGATATCGCAAAACTGCTTTTCACCTCAAGGAGTAATATCACGAGATCTCGTGCGCTCCCGAAAGTCGGGAGAAATGGCTCTGTATTTATATCAGACTCACTGCATTGTTAATTTTGTGTGAAAAGATGTAAAATGTAAAAGATCATTTCTATCAATGTTTTGAACCAAGCACCTGTGTGAATATGAAAAGCCTCGGGGGTCGATATCACACACATCTGTCACACATCTTCAGTGAGCGGATCTCAGAAGGTTGTGGCTAATGCTAAGAGTTCAGACCTGGCATGGGTGAGGCGCTGGAGAAGCTGGGCATCAGTGGCGTCTGAGGGGTGCGGCCCGCGTGGCCGCGGGTGATGTCATATCCTGCACTCACAGAGAAGCCGGTGCTGGGCGGGCCCATGGGCGGGGCCGAGAGGACGGGGCCACCGTACGGGCTGCTCAGAGAAAGAGGAGGAGCAGAAGACTGCATGGAGGTCAAAGCCACTGGGGGAACAGGGCTGGAGAAACCTCCCGGGGCAAAAGCTGAGACGCCGGGGGAAGTCTGAGGACCGGAGACACCTGGACACAAGAAGAGCACACATGAACCACTGATACAGCCGTGTCAGACACCAGAGCGCCTTCGTCAATGACCTGCACCATCTGCTGACTGCAGCCAAACCACAAACTATTACACAACGACGCACCTTCGTCAGGGCAGACAGCTGACTGACATACTTGAGAATAAAGACCAGGCGCACGATCGGTTCACATCTTCGCTCAAGTCTAAACGCCCATTCACACCAAGCACGATAACTATAAAGATAACAATAAAGATTTAGTTCTAAAAATCGTTCTCAATATTAAAGAAGAGCAGAGTCCACACCACAGCTATAACGATGAAGGCACAGAGAAACAATATCGTTGGAATCACTTCCAGAACGATTCTTTCCAGCTGATGAACGCTAAAAACAGCCAATCAGAATCAATCCTGCTATAACGAGCTCAAGAATTTAAAGCAGCAGACGAGTGTGCGCTTAGAATAAACAGACGACATCATCCGCTGGTGTGGACACTAATGTAGTTATATTTATAGTTATTGTTCTTGGTGTGAACGGGGCTTATGGCTGATGATACATGGGCAACTTTTTAAGCAATGTTGCCGTCAACGGGCAACCAGGTGAGACACAGGGCTCACAACTGATCCAGATAGAAATGTGTGCCCATTCTCAAAGGGAATGAGCCCAAGCAACATTGCTCAAAAAGTTGCCCCTTGTATCATCAGCCTAAATTTCACAACGATACACGTACTCCAAACAAAACTTGAACATGTGCGCCGTGCCCAGTTAACGCATTCAGATAGCTACCGTGATTAAATACAGAAATAATAATATAATTTTGATTGTTGTTTCTGCCTTGATGACACATCTGAAAAAAAGCCGATCTATATGTCGGAAGAATTTTTTCGCAAATATCTGGTAAATATTCAGTCTACTCGACTGACCAGTTTTTAAGACAATAGGCAAAGTAAACAATGGCACATTCATGAGATAGACACCAATGTAAATATACGCATCATCACAGTTCTGAACATTAGCACAATGTATTTTCTGAATTCAGTTGATATAATAGTTGAGTTCAAGCATTTTGTCCCTCTTTATCAGGCTATTTCAGATCTACATCACCCATTCCAATACGATAAGAGCATGATCGTGCGTGTTTATGTGGTTTATGAGGACACAAATTTGTATAATAACATAGGTATGACATAGGTATTACAACGAGAAGGTGATTTATGAGGATATTTTCAGTGTCCCCGTAATTCAAAAGGCTTATAAATAATTCAGAATGAGTTTTTTTGAAAATCTAAAAATGCAGAAAGTTTCCTGTGAGGGGTAGGTTTAGGGGTAGGGTTGGTGTAGGGCAATAGAACATACGGTCTGTACAGTATAAAAACCATTACGCCTATGGAGAGTCCCCACAAACCATAAAAACAAACCAGTGTGTGTGTGTGTGTGTGTGTGAGAGTGTGTGAGATAGAGAGAGAGAGTGTGTGTGTGTGTGTGAGAGAGAGAGAGAGTGTGTGTGTGTGGTGTGTGTGTTACCGCTGGCGGGTGCTGTGGTGGGTGGGGGTGGTGGAGGGGTGGTTGGTGGGGTGCTCTCTATGCCGCTCTCTTCCATCATCTTCACTCTGAAGAACATCAACAAACTGTGGTGTCAGTAAATATGACAAGCAGAAAATGATCCGAATGAACATACAGCATTAAGCTGAAACTATCATCTGATTGATGGGAATAATCTGGACTGACTGCAAAAATATTTTCTTGATTTGCTTAAAACAAAGAAAAATATCAGGTCAGGCTCAGAAAAAATATTGTGTTCCCTCTGACACTATCACGGATTTTATTTGTGTTTTATGACTTGAATCATTCGTTTTAATCAATCCTTTCCAAACCGTTCACGCTCATGAAAAACAAAACGCATAGCAGTTTCACACAAGCTCGGTTTCATTTGATTATATCTGATTCTTTAACCACTCTATGTGCACATTTAACTAATTAACTAGTTATGAAAAATAGCCTGTTAAAAATGATTAGCGCACCTGCTCCAGACCTAGTAGGCCATCTGACATCTCATACAGTATATTGGTGACACAATACTCTCTGTTTTTGCTCAATTTGGCCAACGAAAATATTTCCATAAAGCCACAGAACAGCTGTTGTGTGTCTTCCAGCAACACATAGCAGTGATTCGTTTCTCGAGTCATATCTTTGTCTTGTTGTTGAGAAGCCTTGTTTCAGGATGAATGCATCAAAACACGAAGAAAACATGCAGATGTCAAAGGGAAAGCAGTATTTGTTCAGACCCTGCTGGCCAACATTTCTCGTGTTATAAGCAAAAACACACCATTTTCATACGTTTTTCAGAGAACAAGACTTAATATCATACGTCCATTGCTTCTCATAAGTGAAAATGTTTAGCTAGTTTCTGGAGAACAATCATCTTCGCAGTGTGAGGGACATCAATGTTGATCACATGTTCATAATGAGTGGCTTTATTAATAACACGACGAAGGTGATGGCTATGACTGTGTGGTGTTTATAACGGACACTGGTCGAGTATTAGTCCAAACACACACATTACACCGCGATTATCTCACTCACAATCTGAGACTGTTTGACAATAACGCTGTGAACTCATCATAAACCTGCTGCTGGTCTCAGGATCGTCTCTGCGAGTTCAGCTGCACGCGCTACCACACAGTCTGATGTATGTGTATGTGTATATGTATATATATGTGTGTGTGTATGTGTGTGTGTATACGGTATGCCGCTACTCACCTGACGCAAACACAAGCCGAGTGTAAATGTTAAGCCGGAGCCGATAACACTGAGGGCCCGGCCGCGCCTCCCTGCTGCTGGTCTCAGGATCGTCTCTGCGAGTTCAGCTGCACGCGCTACCACACAGTCTGATGTATGTGTATATATATGTATATATATATATATATATGTGTGTGTGTGTATGTGTGTGTGTATACGGTATGCCGCTACTCACCTGACGCAAACACAAGCCGAGTGTAAATGTTAAGCCGGAGCCGATAACACTGAGGGCCCGGCCGCGCCTGCTGATGACGTCACGCAGTGCCACGTCTGACTCTGAGGCGACAGAACAGTGACGTCACTGCTCAGCCGTTATTCCGAGGTCGTAAGAACACGCCAAACACACGTTTACAAGATAACCGACACCAGAGTGATTAGCTCGGAAGGTATGTCTCATTGTTCCGTTTTAGCGAATCAAACAGTTCATGCTCATGAAAAACAAACAAACCACAGCAGTTTACATGTTGCCTTTCACACGAGCTCTGTTTCAGTCGATTATATCAGATTCTTTAACGACTATTTGCGCATTTAACCAGTTCTTTTCGTTACCTAGTTATGAATAAATATTTACGCACCTGCTCCAGACCTACCTATATTTCATACAGTATATTAATAGCAGGCCCGTGGCCAGCCTGGAGAGGGGGGGGGGGGGGTTTTTTTCGTTATTCCGAGGTCGTAAGAACACGCCAAACACACGTTTACAAGATAACCGACACCAGAGTGATTAGCTCGGAAGGTATGTCTCATTGTTCCGTTTTAGCGAATCAAACAGTTCATGCTCATGAAAAACAAACAAACCACAGCAGTTTACATGTTGCCTTTCACACGAGCTCTGTTTCAGTCGATTATATCAGATTCTTTAACGACTATTTGCGCATTTAACCAGTTCTTTTCGTTACCTAGTTATGAATTTTTTTTCTCCAAAGTGTACCTTTTTCAGTTCCCACCATAGACTGTAAAACAGGTTCCCACCCATTTTGTATTTAATTATGAGATGCGAATACTTAGGGCGAATACCAAACAGAAGTGCATCCCATGCCCTACCCCCGTGCTTGTGTAAGATACCTGAGATAAGCGTTTGGGACTTCCGTGGTGAAGGGAATGACTGACCAAGTGTTACTCAGTGCTGTAATGTAGCCAAGTAATAATACTTCGTTACAGTACTTAAGTATTTTATCTGTAACGTTACTTTACTTGAGTTTTTATATTTCAGCCAACTTTTACTTTTACTCCACTACATTTCCTAATTAAAATGTATACTTTTACTCCGATACATTTCCCCGAAGCATATTCGTTACTTACTACAAAACAGTCAGAAGCACACGGACTGCAGGGAAGCAGGTTTGACGAATCAGTGGTCTGGCGTCTGCCAGCTAGACTCATGCTCCTGTGCAAGCAGTGCGCGCTCAACCGCGGATGATTCGTGCTCCACTCAAGTCCAGGCCGGGGTCTGCGATATACAGTATATCTGCGATAATATGGTAAGTGTTGCTGTAATGATGTGCGATCGGACATTATCCAGTAGGCTGTATCACCAAATCTCACACAGAGTGCACGCACAGGATTTATTAGTCTATTAAAACTCAAAATTCCAGGCATTCTAAATTGTAGACGGCAAAAATGCTTCTGTATGCTTTTTATATTTATATAATTTAATATAGTTAACTTAATCTATATCACACAAAGAGTACCGTTGTTCTGCAGATAGCAGCATGCAGATATAATCATTTTATACAAGGTAAAGCAATAAGTGACTTACATTTTAGACATAATATTGCTTGTTTTTGTTTAATTTTGCCAACAAAAATAGTTCCAAACAAAGATCACAGCACTGTTTTGCGTCTCTGAGCAATGGACGGTGTTTACTTAATAAATGATTCAGTGATTCACTCATTAACACAGTAGAATGCTTTGTTTCTGAATGAATCAGCCGTTTGA